AGAAATTGTTGGGAATATGAGGGAAGAGGGAAGTTAAATATAGGAGAGAACTTCATCAATCGGTTATTAGAAAACAACACAAGTGACTTGATGTTACATTTTAATATAAAATTATATTAGATTTATGAGTCTTTCTTATTTATATGTTATTTAATGTATCTAATTTCATTTAATGTGAGACTTTCATTTACACTTGTATATCAACAATTTTTCCTTCAAGCACATAGTATACTCCTATCAACCACATCTTAAACCAAAACCTTAATGTTTCAAGTTTATGAGCCTAAGCGTGAGTCATTTGATCAAATCATTAATTAGTTTTGATATCAAATATTATAGAAACACATGAGTGGGATAAACTAGGGAGAACTCCATTGCTAAATTATCAAATCACACATGTAAATTAAATACCACGTCTTAACTCAATACGGTAATACATAAGGTTTATTGTTCTTTTTCATTTGTATGTTATTTAACATTTTTAACTCTATATCTTATATGAGACTCTCATTCACATGATTACACCAACAAAAACATATTTTACTTTTGTTTCATTTCATTTTTTCTCCTTTTTGTCTGCATATCAAAAGCTAAGCAATGTGAAATACATTTAACCATTGGTTGTATATGTGGTCCAATAATCAATTGAACCTACAAGAACGTGAAAGATAATATTATTAACAAAATTGAGGTCTCTCTTTGGCTCTTTTGAAGTTCAAAAGGACTGATCACCAAAAAAGAGCTGACATGAGATCAATATTGGGTCTGTGGTCACTGAATGGAATGTCTTTCATTTTAAACAAGAGGATATCTAATCGTGTCCCTTGATATATTAATTGATTTTAATCTATTGAATGTTACCACCTAATGCTCATGCGTGAGAATCCTTCACATCCACGCATAAAGTACATATACAGAGATGTACAAAGAATGTAATTTGCATTAATGTTTGTTTAATATATGATACATTCATGTGTAATATATTGATGTACATATATATATATTGGGATGTTGAATGACATGATGCAACAAAGTTTTACATAATTAAAATAAGAAGAAATGAACATAAACACACACAAAGTCTCAATTAATATCCATGAGAACTTTAGGTGATGATAAAAAAATGAGTTGAAATTCAAAGTTAATAATATCATAATATTATAGAAATATGTGTGAATTTCTGATGCACAACGATAACATAAAATATATTTTTTTTAAAAATATATTTATACAAAACAACCCACCAAATGATATACATGGGGAATAAATTCTTACATTGAATTAGGGCATAGTTTGATTAATTTAGATTTAAGAATCATGAGAGTTTCAACTTAAAGTGAGAATGAAAACTTACTCCTCTAGCTTGGCATCTTCGTGAAATAGTAAGGATATTATAATGCATGATGAGAATATAACTATATAATAGCATTATTCATATATGGAGGTTTTTGATCGTGAGAATCATACATTAAAGAATTATATATTTTCATAGTCGGTTTAGGCATCAAAACCGTACGCTTTGATTCGACCCTTTTGGACTTGGTGAATAAAAAACGTGGTCAAGATATTATTACTTAAGAGTTCATGTAACGACTCCATTTTGTAGTTTCGCAGTAAACAAGATTTCCTTATTCTCCCCCTTTTTTATTATTTTATTTTTATTCTTTTAGATATCTTTTGAATTCGAGTAAATATACTAGCTTTTTTTTTTCTTTAATTCCGCTATAACAAATTTTTTATGAACTTTGTAATATTCAAATATTTCATTTTTTGTTTAACTTTCAATTTTCATTACTTTTTTTTTGAGGGGTCAATTTTCATTACTAAAATACTTACATGGCTAACGAAACTTTATTAATTAGTAGATAGACACAAGGCAATACTAGATTGAACTTCATTAGTCACATGTAAGGTTTTTGTCATATTTTCTTTTAGCCTGCTACGAGTACTTCACATCCAATTGGATCAGAGATAAATATTTCTATTTGCAATACTATAACTGATGTTGATTCAAAAGATTTTTTTATCAAAAGATTTTTGCATATAATAGAGATTAAATCCGAGATTTTATGCTAAATAAATCATCTCAGAATACAAAATACTTAACTATACTTTGTCAATTCATTAATTGTAATCCATTAATTATAAGAAGAGTAATATGAATGACTGATAAACAGAAATAGATATTACACGCTTCATAAACAGAATTCTTTAAAAGGATCTAAACGAAAAACAATATATTGCATAACTAAAATTATGTTCGAACCATTAATTTTTAATTCAGCCAAATTCTTTCAAAGTATGACAAACTTAAAATGAGATTTACCTATTTTTTTAATGACAACACAATTGTATAAAACCTAAAACTACATGTATATTACTCAAAATTTTCACCAATACGAGGTCACTATATATAAGGAAAAATTATTAGGTAATTTGGAATATCATGTGTCAATAGTCCTTGTCATATTTACATGATATAAATTTCTTCTATCCCATAAGTGTTGTATAAGAAAAAAACAATAAATGATTATTTTATCTTTTTATGTAATATAAATTATCTCTTTTTTATTTATATTCTTAATATATAATACTAACTCGAGTCATTTTTTGTAAAAGAAAAAATTATAATATAAAATATATTATCACTTGTTTCTTCTAAAAAAGATCGAAGATAATATTAATGTTGTTGTGCTGTATTGTCTATTAAAAAAATTAATAATAGAATTAATTTTATAAAATTATTATTCTCTTTTATTTTATTTATTATCTTTTTTTTTTAATTTACATGTATAAAATAATTTAGTACGACACTCATTATGAAACAAGTGAAACATTTTAAGTTTTTTAATTTACCATAAAATATAATACTAGTAACATTTGATTACTTGTCAAATGCTACGAATTAGTTAGGAACCATTTTTTTTTTATCAGAAAAAGATAAATTATCATATGTACATATTATTGAAGACTGACTAATAATTTCTCTACACTAGGGCAATTGGGATTTATCTCATGCATGCATGATATACCTAGCTAGAATATAACTTCCTTGTACTTTAATGCATGTCAATTGTGAATATGAGGTCCAAGCGAGTATACTAAAGAAGCAAAGGATTACATTACAAGGCCTGGAGCCTCAATAATGTGAATATATTATATAAATTATTGGAAGCAAGCAGTGGGAAAAGAAGGGTTGGCGTTTGAGAGTAAAGAAATAATAGGGAAAGAAAAGAAAGTGTAAAGGTAAACACCTTGAAATGAGGGAAATGCTGGTAAAGCAAGAGACAAGAAGACAAGGCCTGGGCTTGAAATTCACGCATGCTTTGCCTACTAACAGCAACTTCCCTACTCACCACACCCTAACCCTCTCTATCTCAGACACGCCAACCCAACACGGCTAGCTTCAGCCCCACATCGCTTTGCTTTCTTTTCACCCTCAAACAAAGTTTAGTTCCCTTTTTCTTTAATGTCGTCATTGCCTACCTTTGTTAATTGCCATTGTTTTCTGTGACCTTTATCAATGTTTGTGTATGTACAGATTATAGAACCTCTGTCTGTCATATTGCAACGAACTATTTTGTTTTGTACAAAATTACTGGTTTTCACCCAGTAATATAGATGTAGTGCTTGTGTTGTGTTGTTGTTGTTGTTGTTTTTTTTTTTTTTTTTTATGACAATCCTTTAGGTTTATCGCTAAGAGTGACATATTTCAATATTGGTAAAAAAATATCCCACATAAAAATCAGCCACTTTCTTCATTGGTACCAATGATAGTGTATGATAAATCAAACAATGTAGAATGGCCAAAATAACCGAGGTTTATTGTAGTATAGTGTTTGTAGCTTAATAGGTGCATTTGGTTACTTAATTTAAGTCTAATTTGAATAAGCTGTTAGCTTATGAGAATTTTTTTAAGTGTTTAGTTCTTAACTTAAAAAAATGAAGCAATTTAGGTTGATATATATTAAATGAGGGGCACTTTGAAATAAATGAGGCGTTCTTGATTTTAATTATTTATGAGATAAATTTGATTCTAATTATGTACAGTGTTGCTATAGATACCTAGAGAAATCTATATATGACTTTTGGTTCAATTGTTTTTTGGTTCAGTAGTTAAATGATCAGTTTGGATACATTAAAACAGAGAGTTTAATGAGTTCTATAGAATATTTTCTCATTTTTCTTTTATATCCATTGTATTTTCTCTTTCAATTAGTAATTATCAAATGCTCAAACTTAAGTTTAATTAGACACTTGTCATTTCCATGATAAGTTCCATGTAATAAAGTTAGTCCAAAGTAAGTAGTGTTAAAGTTATCCCAATATGCTTAATTAACATGCCTAGCAATTAAGATTATTCTCTAACTCGTGAGATCAATGAAATCACATGTACATAAGAGACTCTTCTTGAAGTACATTTATCTTTCATCTTATCAATTCGAAAATTGGCCTTTATTTTCCTTTTAGTTAGCCGCTTATTAGCAAGACTTTAATATACACTCCACTTTATGAAAATAGAAAAGCAAAAATGCAACCAAAAACCAGGGCTGGTTATGTTGGAGAGCGTCCATTAAGGTCCCACACAAAAGATAATCAACTTGAAGTTAGCATCATAGACGGACAGGTAGTGGGAGCCAGATCACACAGTCGGCTACACACCAGAATTCCTCCTTTTGTACAGTACCATGCAAAATATTAAGTAGTGAGAAAGAAGATATGCATCTATATCACTAAATTAGCATTAACATTATATTCTTATTAATGTATAATAAAATATAAATATCCTCAAAATTATTAGATAATTGAGAATCACCAAGTATTCGTGATCTCAGTCAATTACACATATAATATATATTTAAATTTTTTAATTTACAAGAAAAATTTAATGATACCTGATTATATATCATGTAGAGACTAATTAAGAAGCATGTGATTTAAGATTACCTAATAATTTTTACTTCAAGAAACTATATTAATTAGTTCTCTCCTACGAGAATCTAGATAGCTAATTATTTCTTCTATCTCCCTCTCTATAAATGTAACCCTTTGCTTTCTATGTATCTCACCACTTAGAAATAAACCAAAAATAGTTGCATTGCACATAAATTTACAGCGATAATATCCCTTTTTTTTCATTTAATCATGGCTGCACCACATGATAATGATCCTAGAAGCAATATAGTTTCAATTTCAAGGGTTGTGTCTGTGCATCCCAAACTTGTGCAACCTCAGAGGGTTTTGACCCTTTCAAATTTGGATAGGCAGTGTCCAAACCTCATGCACTTGGTGTTCTTTTACAATAACCTGTCTCACCAAACGTTGAAGGACTTGTCCCTCAATTCAGTGTTTTCCAAGTTGAAATCTGGTTTGGAAGAGACCTTGACTCTGTGGTATCCAGGTGCAGGTAGGCTTAGGCCAAATCAAAGTGATGGCAAACTCAACCTGTGGTGCAACAACCATGGTGCAGTTCTGGCAGAGGCTGAAACATCTATTAAAATATCACAACTTGGAAACCTTTCAGAGTACAATGAATTCTTTGAGAATCTGGTTTATAAGCCAGCTTTTGATGGGAATTTCTCAAATATGCCTCTGATTGTTGCTCAGGTGAGACACGCATATACAATCTATGTACAATATAATACCTAATTGGTAGCTACTTAAGGTTATAAAATATACTAGAATAGCAGTTACTTGATATGATACATGAAAGAAAATTTACCTGTTTAGGGTTTTTTTGTATTTTTTTTTCATCCGTTTTACTTTACCCAATTGATTTCTGTCTTTTCTAATACCATTTCATTATGTCTCTGAAAATTACTCTTCTCCCCAGAAATAGTTATAAAGAAATGTTGGGATTATTTTTTTCTTTTTCAATTATATGTATGTATGGATGAAGCTAGGGTTTGTTCAGGTAGTTTTATAAAAACATGGAACATGTTCCCTTCACACTGGACAATAAGCGGGTTCGTAAGATCTTCGTGTTGCTATAATTTATTTGATTACATCTTTGTTAATTCTTGTCGTTCTTATCATTTTTAAGACAATATCCAGCTTCTGCAAGACGGAAAAACAGGAGAAAAGAAAAAGAGAAACCTTCTTCCTTTTGTGCCCTAAGTATATTAATTAACTATGTACTATATATGTAGCCAAATCACACAACTTCATTGGTATTTATCACAATTATTATGTCTTTTACTCCTATCTCTTCTTTTCCTTTAGGACTGTATTCACTCAATCAGTGTATAATGATTATTTCTCTTACTATCACACGAAAGTTGCGAGAGAAAAAAAATGAATGGAAGTGATAAATTAGACATAAAACCAAAAACACTAAATCATTTTGACAAATACAGGTTACAAAATTTGGTTGTGGAGGCTATTCAATTGGCATTGGAACAAGCCACTCGTTATTTGATGGACCAGCAACCTATGAATTCTTGTCTGCATGGGCTTCAAATTCTGAAATTGTGAAAGGAAGAAGCAGATCTGAAGAGGTTCCAAAACCAGTGCATGAGAGAGGGATACTACTAAGTGGTGCTCTTAATCAAGCCTCAAGAGGGACTATAAATTTCCCTTCAAACTCATCAAGTTTAAGTGGTATGAAAACAAGGGCCATGGCAATAGATCACTTATATCAACTCATAATGCAAGCAGCTGCTAGTGGACAAAAGGGTTTTCCGATGCAAATTGGAGGAGCTTCTAATCAAAAGAAGTGTGTTCTTAAAACCTACCATCTTTCAGGTGCCATGATAGAAGACTTGAAAAGGAAACATTTCCCCATGCGAAGAGGTTCTCTTCCTTTCTCAACCTTTGAGGTTCTTGCGGCTCACCTTTGGAAGGTAAGTCGTTAATGTCTCACTTGCTTTTTCCTGTGTGTTTTCTTTATGATGAGTTCATTATGTGACAAAGATATGACAGCCTGACACAAAAATTATTGTCTGGTTCATGACTACGCATGTCCAAAGTTCTTGTCAATTTGTGAGTGACACTTAAATAATTTTTATTAACTTTTTCAAAACATAAGTCCCATTGAAATTAGCAAGAACCATAAACGTGTGTTCCGAATCATACAATAATTTTCCTTTGCAAATGTTTTTAATATTTTTTTCGTCTTTATTATAAGATAGTTTTAATTGAATCACACGGATCAAATATAACTAATCATGTTAGTTGGTTTTATTGGATTTATAAAATAAAATTATGATTTATTAATTTTACTCTCTTTAATTATTATTAAATATTCATAAGAGAAAAATAAATTACAAATATCAATAAAAATAATAAATAATAATTAAAGAGTTTTAAAGGTAAGAGAGAAATACATATTTTTACAACTTTTAAAAAAGATGCATAAAATGAAAATTAAAATTAATACTTTATAAAAATTATAAAGTATCTTATAAAAAGAACCATTAATTCCCTTTAAATTGTGCCTTATAATAAAGACTACGGGGAATAAATTAGTCATATTCTAGTGTAAAAGGTTTCAGGTATCCTGGTAACTATATATTCTAATAATATTAACTATTTGTTGTTAAAAAAATGGTGAATAAATTAGACGATAAATATTTTTTTAATAAATTTCTATAAATATTAAAGTTTAAGTTGAATTATATTTTTAGTATTTTATTTTATTTTTAATATTATTTTGGTCTTGTAGCTTTCCAAAAGTTTATTTTAATCTTTTTATTTTTAAATTTCGGGTAATATAGTCCTTTTGGAACAATGCCTTTTTTTTCGACTTTGGAACACGGTTTTAAATCCTTCTTTTGCTAATGCCAAATATAAAATTTATTTCATTAGATTCTACTATATAAAAATTATTAAACTCAACTAAAGTTTCAACAACAAAAATTACAGTGATAAATATGATTAAAATTGCATGAAAATGAATCTAATGAGCAATAAGAAAACTAAAAAAATATAATATCATATTCCTTTTTAATTGCTCATAAAATATATTTTTCACACAATTTTTACTATATTTATATAAAAAAAAATTGTTTGAATGTCAATTGTGTACCATAATTTTCACTTAGGTGAATTTAATAGGATAAGTTTCCTATATTACATTAGTTAAAATAAATTCAAAATCATGTTGAAAATAATCACTTATTTCATAATGATCAAACCGACTCAAATTTAAAAATAAAGATTAAAATAATAATTTTAAAAGATAAAAAATTAACATGTATTAAAAATGAGATAAAAAACTATAAATATAATTTACTCTAAATTTTATTCATCTAACTTCTAAATTATATTATATAATTTTGTTGGTCGTGTATATAATTATAATAAATTTTAGATAATTCAAATATTTATAAAACACCAATCTAACAAAAACATTTACTTATAATTTAAATGTCATGATTATATGTTAAAATAAAATATTATAGTATAAAAAAATTATGAATGAAAATAGGTCATACTGTTTGACAAGAATCTATAAGTTGGTCTATACTTGACCTAGATCAAGCCTTACCTTTTAGAAAAGAGGTATAACTTTTATTAAAGTTTATTAGTTAAAAAGGTTAAATTTAAAATCTTTTAAAATATTTATTAGGTACATTAAAAATGAATAAATACATTGTTCAGTAAACATATATTAATTATTAAAGGTAAAAATAAAAAAAAAAATTAATAAGTTATTAATTTTAAGAAAGTAACAATGAAAAAAAAATAAAAAAAAATAATGTCAAAACGACTATAAATATAGAGAGTAATTTTTTATCAATATTATTAAACTTTATTAATTTAATAGTTGAATTATACTATTGTGATGATCATGTATATTCTTGAACCAAATTTTATATTATTCAAATATTTGATGACATACAATCTGATAATAATTTTTTTCTTAAAATTTAAATATTATATTATTATATGATAAAATTAAATTGAATAATGTTATTAAGTATATAATATTTTTAATTAGTTATATATACAAATTTTAAATTTAGTTTATGAGAATTTTTAATGTAATAGTTGAATTAATAAAACTAAATGTCTATAAAATGTTATTATATGTTCATTTTGTCAAATTTGACACCATAGTCTCAATTTTTATCGGTAAAAATTACGATAATAACAGCAATGTTTGAATTAAGGATGTCTATGAAGTGAGATAGGACAAGTGCAAGTAGTACACTCTTACTATTTTCTCTATCGAATAAATATGCGTCTTATACACATCTTCATATCTATGTGAGTATTCTTTAAATGGGTACTCAAACTTTTTTTTAATATCTATGGATATTCATATATATATATATATATACATAGATATTTACTAGAAAAATTAGCATAAAAATATGCACAAAGTCTACATGAAATAAAATTTTCATAAATAAAAAATTGAATAAAAAATCTACATAAAAAATTGAATAAAATAAAATTTATAGAAAAAGCTTGCATAAACAAAAGAAAATTGCATAAGAAAAATTGCATAAAATCTTTTAACATACAGATATAAGTTAAAAAAAATTGGCTAAAACCCTAATTTGGTCTCTTATAATATTAAAAATTTTCAATTTAATCCCACTTTAATTTTTTATTTCAATTTAGTCCCAATTTATTTTAAAATACTTCAATGTGGGACTTCCGTCCAAATTTCACAAACAGTGTTAAAGGTCCGTGAGAATCACGCCCGTGATTCCAAATCATGACCGTGATTCTCACGCCTGGTGCTAAATCTTGGTGGGAGAGGGCTTTCTTCGTTCTTGTTCTCGTTCTTTGTTGTCCAGTCACCACCTCCGCTCCCATGGTCGCCTCTTCCTCTCCTCGCTCCCCTCCGAAGACATCGATGCAGCGAACGACATCATCGTGGACCATCGCGGCAACGCCTTCGTGATGAACTCCGACAAAAATTTCATTTGGAAGGTATCCGCCAACGGATCCTCGTCAATCTTCTCTCGATCTCCGATGTACACGGAGGCGACACGAAGAATCCTTCCGATGGTGATGCACCTTATGGTTTCGTAGGGCTGAACGGAATCGCCTACATGAGCAAGGGATACCTCCTGATGGTGCAGTCGAGGACGCAGTGGACGGCACGACGAAGGTGTTGTTGAATGAGGATCTGGTGGGTGCGGACGACATCGCGGTGAGGAAGGACGACATGGCGACGGCATTTCACCAATGAAGGTGTTGTGGTTGATGAAGAGCGATGATAACTCGGCGAAGGGAGCTGTGTACGACAAGGTGGAGGTGAACATGCGACGATTTCCGACGTCGATGGTGATCAGAGAACGAAGAACGAGAACAAGAACGAAGAAAGCTCTCTCCCACCAAGATTTAGCACCAGGCATGAGAATCACGGTCGTGATTCTCACAGACCTTTAACGTCTTTTGTGAAATTTAGACGGAAGTCTCACATTGAAGTATTTTAAAATAAATTGGACTAAATTGAAACAAAAAATTAATTAAAGTGGGACCAAATTAAATTTTTTTAATATTATAAGGAAACAAATTAAGATTTTAGTCAAAAAAACTACACAAATTAAAAAATTTAACATTAAAATCGAGATATCTGCAAATACAAATTTATATGATATTCGTCTCCGTCTAGTTAACATGTAAGTATAGAAAATATTCATACCCATTATTCATTAATAATACTTTTATTTTTTATCCGTAATAGATATTATTTGTGAATAGTCGCATGTGTGAATTTTATGCCATCCTTGATTTGAACCAAAAGCTCAATGCATTATACCATAACTCAGTTACAAATACTGTCAATTCATCCTCTATATCGTCACATAATTTTTTCCTTAATAGCATTAAATTTATTTATTCTATCACGTACATCATTAAAAGAGTTTAATTATTGATCAAATTGTAACCCCTCCCTGGGATAGTTAAATTATATTATCTTTCTTTTATTTAAAAAAATACATATTTTCTCCTAAAGACATTAATATATTATACACCTTGATCCATTTTAATTTAAAATGAGCCTCTCATGGAAAATTTTTCTATGTAACTTTTAGAGTTCTTGAGAAGCCGTCTGAACCCATATTATCAAATTTTGGGACATCAAAAGATGGAAACATGATCTTGATTGAAGCTCCAAAACCAATAATATAAGTATAAATTTTTTGTTTGCTACAGTCCTAAAATCAATAATACAATACTCAAAATTACTTCTCGATTATCTTAGAAATTGCGAAGAGAAGGGAAATACTTTTAAGAGCTTTGCTATAGTTGTTCACTACCATTAGCTAATAGACTCATTCACATTAAAATCGATTAAATTGTATTTAGAGCTATTAGAATCAACTCAATCGTGGAGTTATAAGATACTATACATAAAATTTTAAATTCTTCTTATTATTATCGCTATAATTTTTTATAGATAAAAAGATTAAATTGTAATATTCATGATAATATCTCCCGGGAAGAGAAAGTAATTTAAACATCTCACAAAAGAAAACAACTGTCCCCTCTCTTTTCGTCTTATTTATAAGGTCTATATCAAAAGTATCGTTTGATTTTTATTTTATAAAAATCTTAAATGTTTCATGCATTAATTATCATGTTCACAAGAAATATAATCAAAAGTCATTTCTCTTAAACAAATAAATAATGGATAAAACAAGAGTCTTGTTAATGTTATGAGTAATTTTAGAAAAATAAAATATAAATTTAATATTATTAACTAATTTTTTTCAATCCTAATGAATTAGGTTATTGGGTGTTATAAAAAGAATTGAAGAGAGCATAATTTATACTTAATTGTAATAACATAATATAACACACAAAAAATTAAGACATTATTTACCACATAAGATGTGATTGAGTAAACTTCTCTAAAAGTACTTTTAGAGGAGAAAAATATGCAAATAAATAAATAAATACATTTTTTTCATATATATATACATAAACTAATTTATAAATATTCTTTTATTAACTTCTCTAAAACATCGTTTTTAAGTTATGCATCTAAAGGGCTTATAGGAAAGTTAAAGCACTTATCCAGCCATGAATTATTCCAAACTACACACATATATATTTTTTATTTTCATTTTACAGGCAAGAACCAAAGCCTTCCAGGCGACAAAAGAGAAGCTGGTGTGCCTCCAATTCGCGGTGGACATAAGGGCGAAGACGTCACCGCCACTGCCGAAACCCTTCACCGGAAACGCCTACGTGCTGGCCTCCATCATGATGCCGGCGTCGGAACTGGAGCATTCAAGCCACGAAGTGATCATCGAGAGAATAAGAGAGGCGAAGAACAGCGTCAACAACGACTACGTCAAAGCCTACGTGGAGGCCCTAGACTCTCCGCCGCCGCCGCAGCCGCCGCAACAAGGTGGCAACCACTCTCTCCCTCCGCTCAACGACCTAACTGTGGTTTCCGATTGGACCAGAATGCCCTTCCACAACGTCACCTTCTTTCGCGCCAAACCCACCTATGCTTGCCCTTTGCGCACTCCCATGCCGCAGGTTGCGTACTTCATGCAGAGCCCTCTTGATGATTCCGCCGTTGACGTCAGAATCGGCTTTCACGCCGGAAACGATGTTGTAAGTGCTTTTACTCGCTGCTTCTTGAGCGTCCAGTGATGCAAATTAACGCACTTCTATGACTATGGATATATATGTCATTGTAATAATTGTGTTATTCAGAAGAGAACGCTTCGGTTGTCTCGTGGAAATTAAGATTAATAGCACAAGGCACAAGCTACTGTATACACTATACTGTTGTTTTTAGAATAAATCCTTACTTTAATCTTGGTGGTAAAGTGCTTTTTATTTGATCAAGTTTTCATAAAGTGGAATATATAAGTCTGTTTCAACCTTACAGATAAAAGTTGTTTATCATTTGCATACACTATTAATATCTTATCACTCATTCATGTAGGATATCTAATATTAATACTAGATGGTTTTGGGAAACTTAGACTAACTTGATATGAGGAAATATTTTTCACTTTTTAAAATTTGTATAAGAAACAAAGAGTGTTCATAGATGAAATTTTTAACAGATTTAAATCGAATTGATCTATTTTATAAAAGTGAATTGGTTAAATAATTTCTTTTTATATAAAATAGATCGGTTCAATTTTTTTTTAAATAAGGGTCATATTTTTTTAAATTGGATTAAAATAGATAAAAAAGAAAAACTAATCTAATTTATAAAAATGGGTCGGTTAATCAAATCAATTTAACAAAGTGGATGGGTTTGAAACTTTTTTCCAAATGAATTGAATTTTTTTTAATATGAATTAGTTTAGTTTGAACTTTTTGCACATTTCTATAAGAAACAACAAATTTTATTTATTTATTTTTCCTGTTTTAAAACAAATTTTTAAAAACAAGATGCAAAATAATAGTCATGTTATTTTTTGAAAGAACAAAAATAAAAATAGACAAAAACAAAATCAAAGCAAATGACGCATTCTATGAATTAATGACGTTAATTATTCTAAAAAAATGTTTTTTTAAGGAAAAAAAATGTATGTTAATAACTACTTTCTCTGTCACATAATAAGTTTCGTATCAAGAAAAGTCAATAAAGATATGAAAAGATAATAGTAATTTTATAGTTAATCTTATGATCAATCTTCTTTCATAAAAACGATGTAATACAAACTCACTTTCTATATAATATTATCAGGAATATAAATGAAAAGGAAATATATTGCATTGAAAAGTTAACATAATACTTATTTTAAAACTTATTTTTTGTTTTAATAATACACTTATTATGAGACAAATAAAATAATAATAACGATATTTTTCAAAGTTTTACTTTAATGAAAATCATAATTGGTTTATGTTACTCCTTAACATTAATAGAAAGTTAAAGTTTTTCAAAATTAAGAGACTAAATTAGTTTCAGCAAATTAACCATGGAACACGGGGATTAGTTGATATAGATGATTTTAATTTAATCGATAATCTCAAATATAAACTCTTATTTATAACAATATATAAAAGGGATATATCCATTCTAAATTGTTTTTGATCTCCAATTTATTGAGACAGTTTTATTCCTTTTTTTTTTTTTTTTTCACTTCTACACAGTTTTTGATTAATGTAAAAATTTAAACTAAATTAACTCTTTTTTTATTGTAACTACTGTAATTATGTATTAAATTCAATTCATTCATATTTTTTTTTTTACATTTTACTTTTTATTTAAATAAAATACAATTATGAAATACCTCAACACCTAATATATATGTAATTATTTTAAATATTTAAAGAAATACTTTTCTCGCTTATAACAATTCTACTAGTTCATAGAATTGTCTTCAATTTGTAAAAGATATTCGTGATCTTGATCTTAAAAACAATTCAAAGCACATACAATACTTGTTCGAATAATCGTGATCTTGTTCGTATTTTTATCATGCAGGGTTGTTCGAATATATATTCAAATTATATAAGCGAAAATGGAATAAACCATCAATTATATTTAGTCCTAAAGTATTGCTTTATGTCTTATTGAGTCCCTAAAATAATAAAATTATATAAATAATTACTCAGTATAGTTCATAGGCTTATCGCTAAGTTGATAAATTTGACTATATTTTAGGACTAATTTGACGGATTTATCAATATTTTAAAGACTATTTATTATGAGTTTTAATACTTAACAATTATTTGTGTAATTTTCTGACTTAAATTGAAGACAGTATTACTTAAGTTGATTATTTAGTCCACTATAGAAGCTACCAGCTTATTGCTGAAATAATAAACGAAATATTTCTTTGGCCATTCATAATGAAGAAAACCGTAGTTTATTGTAATTATATTATTCTTCCATATGGACACTGACAAACTGTCTTAAAAAAACTAAACATGGTTAACTCCATAATGTGCTATAGGGCCCATAAACATAAACAAAAGTGCATTTTCACAAATTGAGAAAGCCCTTGCTAGCTGAAAGCAATAATCTAGAGAAAACTACCAATAAGACAAAAACTGGGAGAGAAAAAAGGAGGTAAACCAAAACTTGTCACGCTACAATTCATCAACAAGCATGACATGACATGATGCATCAATACACTGTCACGTTGATGTCCCCGCAGAGTCATTATTGTCGCATAAGTAATCATCCAATAAGTTCACCTTCCCTTGGTTCTGCTTCACATGACAATGTTGTTATTATGAGATATATGAATATAATATGTGCATGTACAAAGGTGCATAGTATAAAGAATTCACACAAACTAAGGGCTTGGAGAAATGAAACACATAATTGAATTAAATAACTTTCTATTATCTTCTTCATGTTAGTGCCAACCAAACTCAAAAGATCTATAAATGTTTTAATCAAATTCTGTGATCACATAGAAAGATAAACTACAGAACATATGCACAAAAAGGTAGACTAGTCAGAAATTAAAATGGTTTTAAGCCATTATGTGATTATTGATTGAATTGTAGTTAATTAATATGTTAAAAACAACAATCATGCAGAAACAGCTATTGTGAAACCGCATCAAATTGTATAAATTTGATTACCTGTGTCATCATTGAATTGACAAAGTATTCCAGTGAGCCAACATTAATGTTAGTGGCACAACTATTTTGAGACTTCTGTTGGTTCATGATGTACCCTTGGTGTGCTTTCAATGAGGTTTCTCCACTCAATCCCATAACTCCATCAGGCTTCATCTGAAATTGATCACAAAAATTGAAGCCCAAGTCTCTATTGAAGGTTGAGTTAACAGTAGTGTGTCCTTCTGTATCAACAGGGTTCACTGAAATGAGAGAGTCTATTGTATTACCAATAGCATTAGAATGGTAACTAGTATCATGATTGTGGTTATCCCACCCTTGTAATGGCACATTATTGCTCATTAGTCCTGAATTGTTTGTTAAAAAGACTCCTTGGGAAGGCATATCTGTGAGTGAATCATGTGATTGATTAGACATTGAAGTAATGGATGATGCACCACTCAGATTCACATCACTTGGAGGGTAAGAGTTTGTACCAGGAGACTGCACAGGACTTGCCCAAATATCACTACACCTACCTTGATCCATCAAAGGGATAGAAAATTGTGAATTCTGAGAAGCTAATTGAGTTAAATTTTGATATGCTCCACTCCCTTGTGTGTCTTTAGTCAAGGCATTATTTGGCATGGGAAAAGTTGATTTAGCATCAATAATAGGAGACAGGTTTTGAACAGGACCAACACTAACACCTTTATTATGTTGCAATTGATCAAGCCCTAGAAACGTTGGCATTCCCTGAATACCATTATGATTACCACCAATTTGGGATGATTGGAACTTGAGTGGATCATTCATAGAGTTGTTTAAATTTTGTGCATGACCCAATTTAAGATTTTCTGAAGAAGGTAACCCATGCACATTTAGACCAACAGAAGTGCTGAATCTACCAGTCATTCCACCAGGTGGAAAGGGTCTGAAAGCATTATTATGAAACTGTTGAGGACCAGAAAAAGTCTGCAAAGGCCTAAGTCCACTCAGAGAACCCATTCTCGAATAGGATGAATCTGCAGTGCCTAATGCTGCCACCATATTAGCCTGTTGGTTCGCCACACGGCTTATTCTTTTCAGATAAAGCCTATATTTCTGCAACCATTGTAAAACACAGTGAGATTCCCTAAGTGAAAGGGGTTATGTTACATTAAACTAAAGAAGAAAGGATGAGAAAATGCCTGGAGGTGGCTGGCCACATTCTCCCTGGTTAGCTTTTCAACATTCATCAAGTCAAGAATCTTTTTAGGTACAGCTTCTGCAACCAAAATAATTAACACTATCATGAGTCACACAATTTAGTAATGGACCACACCATGGCAAGATGTAAAACATAAGTAATGATCATAGAATTTTCATTCCATATCATAAGAATCTCAAGTCAACATTGGATTGCTATCATCCACAAAATATTCACAAAAGCTTGTTAATATAAAAATAAAGGAAACAACAATTGATCAAGCTCTTGCAGAAATTGATAAGAAATCGAGTAAATTACACTAACATTCTTTGTCATTTTTCAAGACTCACATGATACTCTGCATTTTACAAGGTGCATGATGTAATGCATTTTTTTTTTTCATGACAGAAGTGTCAATGTAATGTATTTCAAACAATTGAGTTACTGTAAAGGAAAAAAGGACTGTGGCATCACATGAATTCTAAAATAGATCACAGGTGAGTGTAATTTATTCTAAGAAATATGATAACATTGGTTATGCAATAATAGAAAGATTGAAGAACATACTCTCGATGCCTAATTGATTAACAGCAGAAACAAACTTGCGGTGCAGCTCCACAGACCAAACAACTCGAGGCTTCTTCTGAGTTGAAGGGTCCTCATTGTCATGGCTATTCTCATGATCCTCATGTTCATCTTCATCCTCATCCTTTCTCCTTTTGGAAGATTTTCCACTTTGATCAGAATTTCCTGTTGCTGCTGACTCTCTTCCATTGCAGCAATCAGCATCAGGTTTCTCTTGGTTGCTGGTTTTGTTCTGCTCCTTTGGATCAGTCTTCTTCCTCCTGATTACATGCTGCCAAATGATCTGTAGCTCCTCAATTCTAACAGGTTTCAGAAGATAATCACAAGCTCCATGAGTAATTCCCTTCATCACCATCTTTGGATCACCATTTACAGACAACACTGAAATCAAATATTTAACGATGTCAAAGGTTCATTAATCAAACAAATGAAGCTGCAACACATAGTATCTCAAGAAAATCTTCCAATGAGCACTTTATATTTTTATACCAAAGTTACATATTTATCAATCAGTTCTGAACATAGAAGTTAGAGTCGCATGATTTAGTGGGCTAAATTATTTTATCATTTGATGAATTGAAGAAGACTTTAAATTGTGTGATACATGAATGAATAGGTGCAATTCCATATCAAACACCATGTACAATTCCTTTTATGCTCTACAAACCAACACACAAAATCCTCAAAATCTTTGGTAGTGATGAAGTAAACAAAATGAACTTAAAAACATACACACAGCATCCGAAAACTAAAACCTGATACAAGAAAAAATTTAAACATCTTAACTGTTTAACTTCATTAATAATTATATCATTAATCAATAATGTGGACAAAAAATGAAAAAGAAGAACTGTTGGAGATTGAAAATATGATCATCACTTACTTATAACAGGTAGGTCCATCTCAAGCCCCACAAGCTCAAGCAGCTTAAATCCATCCATGTCTGGCATGTGCACGTCACTGATTACCAGGTCAAATTTGTTTTTGTTTTCTCTCAATAACTTCAATGCTGTTATTGCATTTTTCGTGGAAGTTACTGCAAAATCGTAACTAAAGTAAATATCATTCTAAAAGATGCAGATACAACCAAAATACAAAATCTAGTTAACAAAAACATCCCGCATCCAATGAAACCGATATGGTCAAATCTTTAAAACCAAAGCAACAACAGAAAACACCAAAGAGAGAGAAATACAAAAATGGGGAACTTCAAAATACAAATTATATCCAGACACTAAAATAACATTATGTTAATTAAAAGAAACTTCATTGACCGAATGTTTCGGAAACAATATCCAAGAAAAAGGGGGGAAAACAATAATTCAATAAAATAGGAAAATAGATATTTGATGAAAAAAGAAAATTCAAGTCCAATGACAATAATTTCACATATAGACAGATAAAGATACACATATCTCCAAATCTTGACGCATATCCTATGACAAGATCTACCAAATGAAAAACCAAAAACTAAACAAATTACCACCATCAATTTGACAAATTCAAATATTACAAACAAAATCCTTTATTGTTCCAATAACAATGTGTCGAGCAAATAATAGAATTCCCACATAGTTAACAATGCAATCAAAGATCAAAAAAGAAGAAAAGAAAAGCAAGAGCAGATGAAACTGACCATGGTATTGACACTTTCGAAGCAGAGTCTCCAAAACCTTGAGGCATGTTGGGTCATCATCAACAGCAAGAACACGCATTCCTATAGGAAACTGGTCTCTGAGATCATCCATCCTATGATCCTCCACCACGGTCATTGTGTTGCAAAAGGGTCTCAACTCTAAATTAACTTGCACCAATAAGAGTCTCTTGTTTTATTTCATGTGAGTGAGACCAAAACCCAGAAGACAATCTATGAAAAGAAAGAGAGAAAGGAAGATTTTAAGGAAGAATATCGTTGACGGAGAGAAAAAGGAGGAGTGATGAAGGGAAACAGAGAATAATTATAAAGTTGGTGTGCTTGTCATGTTATGTTATGTGTAACAGTTGAATGAGAAAGATACAGAATCTTCAACTAAATGTGTAGTGTGTGCACAGTGAAAGTTGATTTAACAACATGAAGATTGACCGAATTATAGGACCTTCCTTTCTCGTTAGATACCAGAAAGAACAAGTTCCAATCACCAATTCAAAATTTTCTGGGAAAATTCTCGCGTGATTTCCACGCTCTCAAAACACAAACCGTTCATATTTATTACAATTTAAGGTAATGTTAATATCTTCTGAGAAGATCATGTTGTGGTCATTATTTCCATAAATATATAATACTAAAAGGAAGCATTTTGTTTGTAAAAGATAACTATCATATTTTCATACATGAGACGAGAATTTATTTTTGAAAAATTATAAATAAATATTGCTCTATTTATAGTAATTTAAAAATATATTTAACTCTGGCATTTAAATTGACAGACAATATAATGTATAATTAGATCATTGGTTTTTATAAAAGTATTTTTAAAATAATACTTTTTATGCAGTATTAGTATAAATAATTTTATACTATCTACTAATAAAATTCATGATAAATATGATTTTAAGAATAATTGTTATAGGTGTAAAAAAATAATTTGTATAAAAATGAACAATCTTATATACACAATAGTTGGGAAAAAAAAAAAAAGTCCTGTCACATGTGAAATGCCAATTTAGAAACTTACTCGTAACATACTAAAAATGTTTTTAATTTTTAATTTATAAATATCTATGAGCGAAAAAAGAGCTAGAGCAAGCAACATATAACCAAAAAAAAGAAACATGTTTCATTAGTTTTTAGAAAGTGATCAATTCATAAGGTTTTAATCACTAAATATATAATGTGAGATTAGGTTAATAAAAACATGCTAATATCTATCATATTACCAAGACTAAAAGTATTTAGGATAAAATATTAAATTATTTAAAATTGATAACCCAATAAATATATTAATTCATAAGTAATAAGTCCTTAATATTAATAGTAAGATATAATATTTCTTACAATTTCGTTTTCTTTCTCTGGTTTAATTAGGATTAAAAGGTTATATGTAACCAAAATTAATAAAATAGTGATGAACAATTTATATAATATTCTGTTGGAAAAAAGTTTCAGCTTATTTTTAACCAATTTAATAAATAAAAAAAACTATTTTCTTTCAAACATATATATAATAACCGCGGCTTGTTAATTATTTAATAATTTTTATCTGGTTTGTCTATCATTCTTTTTATGTGATTTCTTATTGCAAAATTAATAAGCAATTTTAGGTAGGGACGGATTTACTTACATCATAGTGGAGGCACTTGCCTCCACTACCATTTTACACATACACAAATTTTTTTATCTAAAAATAATATATTTTAAAAAATAAAAATTATATTCTAATAATATATATATATATATTAAAATTATTGTATGTATAAAATATAAATTTT